TACACATCGACTACATGACCGTAGGACAGAGAAACTATTTGGTGGTGGTAGATGCATATAGTAAATGGTTGGATTGTATATATATGTCAGACGGTACTACTACGGGGGCCTTAATCGTTAAATTAAAACAATTGTTTTCCATATTCGGTCTACCGAGGACAATAGTTTCGGATAATGACGTAAAAATAAATTCAGTAGAATTCAATGAATTTTGTTCCAGTAATGGTGTAAAACATATGACATCTCCGATATATCATCCATGTAGCAATGGGCAAGCCGAAAATGCCGTTCGAACATGTAAAAAAATGTTAAAATGTATTTTAAGTGAACATTTAACCCTGCACATGGTACAAGAAAAATTATTAGGATATCTGTTCGATTATAGAAATACAGTTCATTGTGTCACGGGAGAAACACCCGCTAAGTTAATGTTCGGACGGTCCTTAAGATGCCGTTTAGATCTGTCACTGCCGTCAGATCAATTAATTTCTAGGCATAATAATGATTTAAAGAAAGGTGTATTAAACTGTAGAAAAATAGCAATCGGCGAATATGTATGGACACGTTGTTTTAATGGCAGAAAAGAAACTTGGCAATTAGGCACTATTGTAAGCATGGTTGGGAAGAGAATGTTTAAAGTAAAATTGAATGACACAGATAATATTTGCATCAGACACATTAATCAAATAATAAAATATACAGGTAATACCACCAATATAGAAAGTGAGTTGCTTAAACCATTGTCTTCACAACACAATGAAGGAAGTGAGCCCAAGGGGGTCCACAACACCTACGCACCTATGCCACTATCAGCTCAAACTAGTGATATAATTAGTTGCGAAGGAAATAGAGATGGCCCCGATCAGATTGGTGAGGGACGTGAGGCTGGGTTATTGAGTGCATCGGATTCACTCGCTAATGTTGAACGGGAGATAATGCCGCCGCCGCCGCCGGTAACTGCGCCGCCGCAGATTGATCCGATGCCGCCGGTTGATCCGCCGCCGCCGGTTGATCCACCGGCGCCGGCTGATCCGCCTAACCACGTCATACCCCAAGCGTCCAACACTCGCCAATTAAGGCCCAGAAAAAAAGTAAATTATAAGTTTTAGTTTTAAGAATAGGTACCTATTCTAAATTGTAAGAATAATATAAAAATAGAATTTCTTTTGTTACCAGAATTCAAAATAAGGGTGGAGAGAATGATGTATAGTAACCTACCCGCCACCTTAAGTTATTAAAGGCGTCGCCTGCGCGCGCGCTCCACTCAGACAGTAATAAACTAACCAGACTACGTATCGGTTGTTTCATTGCGCTTCCTACACTTCAACAATACATTTGTTTACGCAGTAGGAGCGCCACCACTGTTGATTCAATAAAAGAAAGCTAAAGTTATCTAGCGGCTCATCCCCGAACCTTTATTGAATCTGTTATGTTGGATAGATGCGTATGATCACCGAGTATTTGAATATTGTACTAAGTCAAAACTCGCTCAAATTTTTGAGTTGTCTCAGTTTAGATCTAGGTGTACGATATATGGAATCAAATAAAATAGGGAGATGAGTCACGCCAGCCCAGTGCTGATAGATAGGTGTTTACAACGGCGAATGCAGCCAAGACCAATAACTTAACATTCCTTCTGAAACAGGGTGGAGCTCGAGGTAATCAATTTTCAGTCACCCATCATATGAGCGGTTCCTGCGAAAGTTATAAATGTAGATTCATAGTTTTAAACTTTCGGAATCGTAATCTAATTCGATTTGACCATATACTTTGGCACTAATTTTTTTTGCTATATTAGCGTAGTGGATAAACGCCGAGACCCACGATCGTTCTTGCTAAACAACTTTCGCAAGGATCGGTCACGGGATGGATGACCAAAAAAATATTATCTCAAGCTGTTCTGTGCTTCGGAAGGCACGTTAAGCCTGACTTAATTTACAGTCGTTATTACCCTCCAATCCGTATTAGGTCAGCGTGGAGTGTCGTGGCCCATCATCCAGCACAATCCATAAGGAAAGCCTGAGCCCCTGCAGTGCCGACGTACAAGGGCTTTGATTTGTTTGCAAATAGACAGACAACAGTATTATGATATTATGACAAAATAATAAGATTAAAATCCATCATTTTTCATGATCAATGATTCCAGACTGTTCACTCTTAACTTATTCATTGATTCGTTTATTTGTTGCTCTACATCAGGGGCTCCCAAACTTATTTCGTCTATTGCCCAATATGATACAAATATGTTTTTAGCACCCCATTTTTTTCACCTACTTAAAAACAATTTAACTTCAAATTAAATTACTTATCGTGAGCTATATAGAGGAGATTAATTACTTAATTACATTTGTCATAAACAAGACTTTTACTATAACCTGTAAAAGTTAACTTGAGTCCTAACAGACTTTGAACTTTTCCTAAGCTACACAACGCCTCTATTTTTTCCGTCTTACTGTCCCCTTTAGGTCTGCAGCGCCCACAAGGGGTCGTTATCCCCCACTTTGGGAGAAGCTGCTCTACATGATTGAGTAATTAGTTTACGCAAGTCAGATAGGTTACTGATTCCTTTCTAACAAGATTCCCATGGGTTTTTCAACGTCTTGAAACAACGGTTTATGTATTGGTGTGAAGATTTCGATTGCAGGTTCGATTCCCATGACTTCTATTGTATTTATCGTAATACTGATCTACTTTTAGAGTAGGTTAGTTACTTTGTCTTGGAAATATTAAGCCTTCGATTGATTTATACTGAAAGTACTGTTAGCGTCTAATGCTAGTTTCTTAGTCTAAGAGGAGATAATAAAAACTGGGTGATTTCAAATGTTGCTAACATTGACTTGTTTTATATTTTTTCAATCAAATTTCAACTCACCTGTAAAATAAATATTTTCATGTACAGTCAACGACACAGTTTCAAAACTGTCAATAAGTATACTTTACTTGATTCTAAAAAATCTTGATCATTCAGGTTCGTTTGTTGATATTCCCATATAATGTTAACTTGTTGTGATATTTTGTTATCCCGTAGGAGTTAAAAATAACTTTTATTAGACGTCTAACTTTGTAGTCTAACATTGAGCTGATATCTGGGACAGATATTTTTTTTAGCAATTTTCAGTAAATATATATTGATATTGTGGTGGTTATCTCAATCGTATAATATTCTTGTGGCTTCACTTTGAAAATAATAAATCTTTCAGTTTTAAGCAATATTTCATTTACCAATTAATTATTAATTTACAGCAAAGGATAAAATTGATATTTTTCAAGAAAGTGTCCCAAAGAGTAAATCCTATAAACATGACAAGCAAACTTCTTCTTCTTTTATAAAAATAATTATGCTGTGAACCATGTTCTACAATTTTCAGGTGCAGCCGCCACAGTATAACTGTGAATGAAAAATTGATCTAATATTATAATATTTAATTTATATATACGAGGATATTGCTAGTTGAATTTATAGATGCAAATAAAGTTGTGTAATAATAAACGATTGATCATAAAACTATAAAACGGTTATATCTTCCAAGGCACTACAGACGATTCAAAATGTAAACAACATCGCTTTGTTATAGCATTTAACTGTAAGCACTCGTAATATATCAGTTCTGTCGAAGAGCACTACTAGAATAGCAACTGCCGTGACAGATGGCAGAAAATAAAACAGCTCACCGATATTCTCTACTGCTCAAGACGTTGGCTTTTTATCATAATAGGTCGTCGTTCAGCCATTTACGACGTTGATGTAGCGAGCAATAAGGTTACCATTTCGGTTCATTCGGAAATAAATGATGTACCTTAAAGTTATTCGTTTGAAAATACGGTTTTAAATTACAATAATAAACCTTGTTTAGTGGTGCACTCATAGGGAAATAAATAAAAGAAAAAATTAATTAATATAGATACAGTTTAAAGCAATAATATGTAATTCCCATTATCTAAGAAATTTCTGGAAACCTCATAAATTTTAGTACTTGGCTTAATGAGGGGTAAAAACTTTCAGTGTGAAAGTTTTTGCTCTCTCTCAAAAAAGAGAGCAATCTTAATCTGTAATTTGAATATGTATTTTAATTATGCAGAATAGCTGACTAAATAAGCTACATATTTCTTGTAGAATATAATTATTTATCTCGGTTACTATTCGGGATATATATTATTGTTGTTGTTATTTATTTATTAGTATTTCGATCGATTTTATTAGTATAATAAATGCTCTATGTTACAGAAGAATACAAAATTCATTATTTGTAAGTTAGTCTATTTCGGAACCATTTGAGCCACCTTTTCTTTTTTGATAACACAGAGTATTGACGCTATCCTAACCTATCCTGAAATGGTTTAAGCATGATCGGCCTACCTGGTTAAACCTGCTGCGGTTCACCTCAGGCAGACGGATGATTCCGGTATCCGAGGAGGGTCCGGTCCGGAGGTTAATACCGCGCTGGGACGCCTCTCATGGAGGAAGAGTCTCCCTCTGCGGCAAGGAAAAGACTCAATTGTGCTACCTGGGATCTAAGCCGAATTAATTAAGCACTTCTTTCTTTCGCTACTAGAGAGCGACGAGCATATTATAATCAATGTTTAAGCATAATAAAAATTATTATTTAAAATAAACTGCTGCGTTAACAAATAATTCACATAATCTCGCTGACCCGTGCTGGGGTCGTAAGTATGCATAACGCATATCTATTCACGAAATAAAAGGTATATACACATCATCAGCCCTTTTACGTCCCCACTGCAGGAGCTCAGACCTTCCTTATGGATGGTTAAAGAGGATGGGCCATGAACCTTTCACGCTGACCCAATACGGATTGGAGGGTAGAGTATATACAGATATTAAAAACTTATAAAGCATAAATAATACAGGGCAAAAAGCTTTTACCTGTTGTAACACCAATGCAAAATAACACATTCATTAGAATTAACTCACAATCGCAACACCGCATCTCGTTTTACCTCTAATTAACAAACGAAATAAACATCTGTTTTTGTTGCAGTTTGCAAAGTTGGGTTCGCGCTGACTCCGCTATGGATTCGGAGAGGTAAGTTTTATTTTTTTTAATTAGAACACATAGCAGACGTCATATATTTACTTTCAGCGGTATATTATTATTATTTGTTATTATAAGGGACTATGCAGTTCCCTGGGGAACCGTAGTCCGCAGAACTCCTTTACTTCAAAAATCTATAATATTCTTGGCTTTTAGAGATTTTATATCTTATATGTCGTCCCAGATGTATGTTCCGTTTGTGGATCAGTGGTCCATATTCACACGAGATGTTTGGTGTTTCACGTTTCTGTTTGCAATATCTGCAAATATATGTCACTTAGTTTCATGTGAAATAGGTGTCTGTTTAGTTTGCAGTGTCCATATAAGGTTCATACAATTGTACTTGTATGTGCTCTGTTTAGTTTCAAGAGCTCTTTAGCTAGTTTTTGTGAATGGATTTCAATTAGGGATTTAGCGTGATTTAATCCCGGCTGTTTCTGCCAGTATTTTTTTTTTAATCCCTTTGTATGACATTCTTTAGAATTTGCATCACATGGTTTTTTGGGATACCACAAAAGGGCTCTGGTCCTATATGTAGTCCCTGTGGTCCAGCCCTTGCATATTTTTTTTGCTTTAGCGGTATAATCTATACCTATACCATTTACATTATAGTGAAAAGTATATTTCAAAAATATCAACATTTAATGACACTATTCAGTTCACAAAATTAATCAAGAAATTTCATACAATTCAGTGTATATTAAGTTCAACTAGCTTATTGCTTGTGACAGTTCATAAATGATTTACATTCGATTTCAATTGATTCGATCGAATTATTTATTAAATTGCCGCATATCCGCATGTTTTAGAGGTGCAGTATGCAACAATAATATAGTTATCAGTTTATTAAATGAAATCATCGTCTAAAAATTAAGCTTAATTGGTGATAACTTAAACAAAATTATAATTAAAGGGGTTTATTTAAAAACTTCATCGCAAAAGTAATGACAAAAGAGAAGAACAGAAACTATATTTTTGTCAAATAATTAAGTTTTATTATCTTAGGCTACAGTCATTAATGGTATTTTACTTTCTGGATGTTATTTCATCGGCCAAATATAGAAAAACTTATTTCTGTTATCTTTAGCGTGTCTGAGTAATTATAATGTCAGTACTCAGTAGAATATGGAATGCCTTGTTCGTTAATGAACTATCACATAATGTTAATAATTAAATTTACAGTTTAAACGTGCATTTACCTTTATATATTCACTTATTATTTCTTAGATATTTAAGCGAATAGCAATCAAAGGTTAATTACAAAATCTGCAATAAGTACCAATAAATGTTTAATGTTATTTTATTATGAATTATAGTTTTTAACATTGTAATAAAAGACGTATATTAAATTAAAACCGGCTATTGAATGAGGGTTCTTAAATTAATAATTGAGAGAACGGCTATTCGTAAAAGGGTCACGAAAGTTAAAGATTCATCATGATTCAGTAGTGATTTTAAGTATGAAAGGAAAAACATATATATTATTAATTCGGTTTATTTTCTTTTAACACAGATGCCAATTCTATTTTACCGCTCTCTGAATAGGAATGATGATCATTTTTTGTTTGTCTGTCTGTCTGTGGTAGATTATTGAAGAGTATTAACACATTTTTGTTTTACTTGCACTTTTTTGCATCACTACATAGTATAAAACAAAGCCGCTTTTGATGCGGTTTTTTTTTATAGATAGGGTGATTCAAAAGGAAGGTTTTTATATATAATACAAACACGCGGGCGAAGCCGCTGGCGGAATTCAAGTAATTAATAAATTCTGTATCCCTGACATCGAGTTGAAATGTTGCGTAAACAAATTCAAACATAATACAAGATAATAGTTTTATTTTTGCATCCAAAAATACTATATAGAATTTTTTATACATATCCAGTATTTACTCTTAACTGTTAGTTTTTATCGTAGTGGTGTCGTGACATCGAAGTTATTAGCGCAATGTAGTTAAATAATTTTAAATGAGCTAGTCCTTATTTTCAATTTTACATAGTAAGAAATAAATAATGTAAGGTTTTGCCATATTTAAATAATAGAAGCGATTTATTCGATTTAAAACAGATAGTTTATCGATTAGTGTATCCAGGAACCGAATCGTTTGACCTTTAGGTCGTGAGACAAAGTCAGAGTGGGCGAGATCCGTTATTCAGTTAATGTGGGAATCTTTCAATAGTAAAGTAGTAAGGATCTAGTTAAATAATATTTTCTGTCTGTGTAAATTTTGTTATTACATTTTTAGCAAATTGAAAAAGTATAATATATAATTCGGATCTATTCAGATTAGTTATAGTATTATACAAAAGAGAGCTGTCCGCGCTATAAATAATTTACGGTCTAGAGAATCTCTCAGAGAAATATTTAAAAAAATAAATATTTTGACCGTTGCCTCTCAATACATCAATGAAAATATTATCTACGCAAGAAAACATTACGATTTCTTCACAAAAAAAGTAGTGTTCATAATCTTAACACAAGAAATAAAAATAAACGTGCCGTTCCAAGCTTCAGGCTTCAGAAAATCAGAGGATCATTTCTGGGTAAATGTATTGCTATGTTCAATAAAGTTCTACAAAATGTAGTTGACCTACCCATAAATAAATTGAAAATTCGTGTAAAGAACATACTTATGAGTAAAGGCTATTATAAAGTTGATGATTATTTAAAGGATCGCAATGCATGGAATTAATATCCTTCGCTTTGTTCTAATTATATGTTCAACCTATGTCCTACAGACTTTAAAAGTTGTATTTACTATTGTGATAATACATATTATTTTGGTAATGACATGATTTATGTAAATGTCAAAAAAGCTGGTAAGTTTCTTTCGCTTGTTCTTCTTGTCAGCTAGACGCCCTGAACAAGTGGTAGGGGAAAAACATTTGATTAAAGATATTTATATTTCATTTCAGTTGAGAACTCACAAAAATATCTAACAAAAAAAAACTCGTTATGGAGCACAGATCCCAGTTATTATGTATATTATGTAAAAAGTGCACCTAAACACTACTTAAGAATTGGATACTCCCTTGAGCTTATTTAGCTCAGTATTCCTTACTGAAAGCTAACTTAAGTCGTTTATAACTTAACTCGGTGTAGTTTACACAAATACCTTAAGTCTGCACCTTGAGCGTCGACCATTAAAGTTGACGACAGCAATAAATCAACTTTAACTTAAGCTTTAAGCTGGTGGCACATGATTAGTTCATACTCGTACTTCGTTTTAAATTTCAAGTCAACGTCCCCGTTTTTCGACATAGTTTAGGCAATTTCAAAAATCTTTATACGTGTCTGAAGATTTAATCTTCCTTTCCTTTCTTGCTCTCTTTTCTTCTCTTTTCTCTCTTCGTCGCTCTTTCCTCCCCCACATATCGCACTTTTTCGCTAGTATGCTATGTATGCTAACTTTTGTTCTATTTGTCCGCGTAATTTCGTTGTATTAAGCTTGCACTATCTGCTGATATTTTAGTTAAATTTCCGTACTTCGTTAGGTTGCCTGGCAGAAATCGCTATCAAGCGACAAGGCCGTCTATTGTACAATGTGTAAGATTTTTGTGTATTTGTCTCTTTTCTATTTATTATTATTATTAATTATTCTTGATTGCCTTCAGACAGGTAGACAGGCTACCTAATGAAGGTTAAAACATTTACAAGAATTAAAAAAATGTGTTTAATCGAATAATAGCACTGTCAAATAAAATATAAAAATCAAGTTCCGTTCGTTTGTTTCGTTGAAACTCGAGAACGGCTTGGCTGATTTAGTCGATTTTTGTTTAGAAATGTTTATCGTAGACTAGGGAAGCTATAAATCGGGTCATCTACAAATTATTATATAAAAAATATCTTACCCCATAGGACCATATAAACAACCGGATCATCTACAAATTATTATATAAAAAATATCTTACCCCATAGGACCATATAAACAACATAAAATAATTTCTCGGAAACTAATTGTGAATTCCATTTGTTCATATGACTTATCTAATTATATTTCAAATAAAAAACCTAGTAATGTAATGGCGACATTCAACGAATCATCATGAAATATGTATCAAGCGAATAGTGTGTATATATTTAAAATCAAAATTATTGTATTATCAGTAACACATCGCACACCTAGATCTAAACTAAGACAACTCAAAAAACTAATGTGGAGGTCTGACAATACTTTTTTTTACGTGGCAGGAGCGCGACCACTGTTGATTCAACAAAAGAAAGCTAAAGTTATGTAGCGGCTCATCCCCGAACCTTTATTGAATCTGTTATGTTGGATAGATGCGTATGATCACCGAGTATTTGAATATTGTACCAAGTCAAAACACACTCATATTTTTGAGTTGTCTCAGTTTAGATCTAGGTGTGCGACATTATGACTAGATCTTAAGCATTCTGCCTAAGATGATGATGTGATAGTTTATAATGTTTTTTTAAACATTGTTTTTGGATCAATCGAACTCATTATTTGTTCAATATTTAATCTGTGTATAGTTTACAACGAACTCACTTCCCACTGTCTGTACGCTGTAATCTTTTAAATTACGCAAAGGATTTTTATGCGGTTTTCATCTATATATGTTTTACTACAGTGTATATCATAATTATGTCAAATTTACGCAGTTGGCTTAGAACTCTATCACCAGTGAATTAAGATATAAAATTAAGTGGAGAAATTTGAGCGTTTTATATAACTCGATGTGCTAGCGATTGTATTATAAACTCTTTATACAAAAAAGTGGTCTATAATTCTTTACCGGCACCAGAAAAAAACGTAAGTAATGTATAGCCTAACCTGACCATAAAAGACTTAAGGAAATAGAGTCATAATTCACTCGACGTGGGTCTGTTGCGGATTTCTGTTCTGTGGTCGGTAACAGGGTTACCAGGTGAAAAATTTCAAAGTCCGGAGAAAAGGTTTGATGTGTCGGAAATGGGCTGAGATTTTGTCGAAGTATGAAAATAACAGTAAAATAAGCTTAGTTAAAAA